GGCAATGCAAAGTGGATGGGTGGATGAAGATAGTAAGGTGTGTTGATCATTTTATATGTTGCTACACAAAGCACTTTAAGATGCTTTTAAAGATTGCCATCTCATTTAGGCTGGACTGAAAATACAGGCTATGTTTGGCAAACGTACCATGCTTTGTGGTATAATGAAATATTCCTGAAACACTGTCAGACTTTGCTTCCCGGTTTTGGCACTGAATAATAATTTTGAACAATAAAAAATCAAGAGACAAGTACAATGTTTGCTTGTTAAAATGGATGACAACCAAAAACATCACTAGTAGACAGAACATTGTATGCATAAAATATGTTTTTGGGAAGATTAATATCTCTTACTGAATGTGTGCATCTGTAATATTTGCATCTGTAACAAGAAATGTTCAAAATTACTTTTTCACAGAGTGGCACCAGCTCATCCTCGAAGAGATCCCGAGGCAACTTCCCCACGAAAATTTCACTCCCTCTCTCAGGTGGACGGCCATCCCAGTCTGGGGGCGGGCCGCCGTATTTTCTTTGACCATTTTCCTGCAGGACGAAAAAGAATAAAAATAAAGAGGACTGTACAGAGAGTCTTCTGTACTTCAAAATCATAAGTGTCATAATTTAAAGTATAATAAAAAGTGGTATTATCACTGAGATTTGTTCAATAATGATTAAACAAGGGAGCAGACAATGTTGCACAGTATGGACCATGCTTCTACTTCCAGGCACAAAGATACAACCGTAGACGAAAATCTGTGTATCATTTTGAATTAACTAGACATTTTAATAAAAGTGGCAAATGCTACGTTTGATTTCCAGAAACTGAAAAACATGCCCAAAGAAATAAAACAGAAAATATAAAAACAGAGACCTAATTTAGTAAAAACGAAAGCATACAAATTAGCCAATTCACAAGACACTTCATTCTGTGACTGTACAATTTGACCTGCTACTGAATTCAAAGACGAAAAGAACATTTCCAACGAGGCATTTATTTCTGGTTTTACAGGGTAGCAGCAGACACTGCCAAGCCTTGTCGCATGCTCTGAGGCTTGGCAGCTTGACCTACATAGATGAAAACAAAATCTCTGATGCTGACCCTAGACTTGTGGATTCAGGAAGGCTGGCCTAAACTAACGGTGATAGCTCTCAATGGTCAACTGGACTATCATCAAAATGAACTGCATCTTACAGAGACTTGTCACAAAAGAAAAAGGCACTGAATTGTTCCAGCTGAAGCCCTTTAAGGATGTAGGTAAGTGGTTATGACTTAAATGGTGAATGATGAAGTGATGGACAGTTCTTGGAATGAGGTGAAAAGCTTCTGATACGGCTGAGAAAATAGCATTCATCAGAATAGGAGTCATCAGATTTTACACTTGACACCTCTTCAGTCAAATACAATCAGAATTTGCTAGTGGAGACCCATGTAATTCTCATGAGCTGATGACCATAAGCACCTGAAGGGTTTTTGAAAAATCTTCATTATATTGAATATGATCTTCAAATAACAATTGATTATTTAAAATTAATGAAAGAGATGCTCAAGAGGCTTTTCATGCCTAATAGGTTTTAAAATCTCCCTTTCAACTACTTGGTTCTGGGTTCTACAGACTGCTGAACATGGTTGATTAAAGATGACACCGGTTTAAATATATTTCTTTAATTTATTTAGACCTTAACCATTTCATACATATTGTGAAGAAAAAGCTATTTAAAGAGTGTGTTCTAAAATAACATTGTTTTTGTGGTAAGCATATCTTTAAAATTACAATTACATTCTGAATATTCTGATCCTTTGTTGTTTATTTTTATTAATAGATATGTATAACCCTAGAAAAAACATAGTTTAGGCCTCATGATAAGGCTTATCATGTTGACCTGGGAAAGCAGGATGTCATCAGGGAAATACATACAGAGGAGTCCTTTATCTTAGTCTTAATACTACAGGAGTCTTTTATCTTAATCATTTTATTTTGTATAGAAAAGAACTAAAGCAGTGTAACTCAAATATCTGCAATTGCAATATTGCTTTGCATTTTTTCTTTGCATCTGTAAAGCAATCCCTTTCTACTGTTATGAATATTGTTGTTTTACATTTAAGGCAGTTTATTTAGCTAATATCTAGCAGGTACAGCTATCATTATTTCTTTAAATGCATTAGAAACTTCTGTCATACATTTGACTAGAGCCTTAAATAATGGTTTAATATGGGGGTTTTAATTGCTTTGATAGAGATTTTTTTCAAAAAGCTTATGAAAGTAAGACTGTCCAGTTCAGCCAGTAGATGGAGCCATGTACCAATTTTCCACTGGCGTCTGTGCCTTTACAAGGCTTAAGCCTCAAAATCCCAATAAAATTAAGTTGCATCTTAAATCTTAAAAATAATGTATGTAATATGCTTATTTAATTAATTTGCTCTCTTACAATTAACAGGTTTATCTTTTGTACACTATACAGTTTGTCAATTTATTTCAAATAAAAGACTCCAAGATTCCAATATGTTTTAAGGAGAAAATCACTGTAAAAGAATGGCTGTAAACACTGGGTAAGGAAGGGTGGATTAACTCAACTGTGCACACAATTGATATATTTAATATAAAAATACATTTGGTTGTGCTCCTTTAATATGGACAATTTGATTGAGCTACATAAAACTCAGAAACATGAGTTTTGCATCAGGATTCTGAGCCCTTTACATCCACTGCTCTTTCACCTCTGTACCTGGTGATTCCGCTGACATAGTGATAAGTAGTAACTGACGTTTACATATTCATCTTTCCAGAAACTCTAAAAAATTGACCTTTAGCTTTTGCATAGGCACAGACAAACAGAGCCAAAGAGGGAGCACTGAAACTAAAGACTCAGCCTGTTCTGGCTGTCAGCAGGGAGTTGTCAATGAAAGCAGAGCCCACTGAATCATGAGAATGTTCTTCAGGCGACATTGTTCAATGCTACATCTACAGGCTCCTACCTGAACCAAATTATATCCTGTGCGCTGGATCAATGAGCGCAGGGCTGCTTCTTTCTGAGTGCCCGTCAGTCCATCCCCGGATTTTTGATTGGTTTCCATTGTGAGTGATTATCAGCAATAAATCAGCTTAATTACGGGTGCTCACTGAAATTAAATCAAAGTTCAAAACAAACATAAATGACAATGTCAAACATCTGCACAAGTAATGAATTAAACAGTAAGGTAGAGTTATGGAAGAAGCACTTGCAGGAGTTCTTTTCCAATAGTCATTTGAAGAGTACAGTTTTTTCCCTGTACAGTGCATACATCTATTTTTGAAACATTTACAGGTCAGATTTTATCAGGTTACAGCTATCCTACAGTAGAAGAGATTTAAATTTAACTGTGTGTTAGAGTCTTTCAAAACTTAACTATAAACATACCTTTTAATTTGAACATATTTATATATAGTACAATATTTTTCACTGGCAGGTACTGTTATGGAAAAAGTGTTAGTGACTTTCCTTTCCCTGACAATCACTTATGCTCCAGTAGCTCCAAGTTTGACACCATTACTCCAGTTCCCAGTCTGTGTCAAGGGGTTATTTCAGTATATATAAAAGGAAGGGCGATGCACAGTAGACAAGTCAGCTACCAGCTGCAGCAGATCTCCCTCACTATTGTTATAGAAGAGGAAAGAGATTTCTAAATCCCCTGCCAACATTTCTGTCACTTATGTCTCCATTGCAGGCTAATACTTTCAGAATAAGGGGTCAGTGTGAGACACAATTAACAGCTGGTTCAAGTGAAACCATATGTCTGAGGTTAATGGCAGCCTTTTCAAGAGCACAGAGTACATTCCACCTGTCTCTTTCTCAATGCAAAAAGAACAAAGACTTCCATTGACACCCTCCAGAAACAGAATTCTGCATGCTATCTAAATATTTGGCCAAACTTTACCAGTGTGACACTCCAAATGTTGATCTTGTCAAATACGTTTTTAGTATTTGTAAGATGAATAGCCTGTAAATCTGGTGAAGGACTTTTGTTTCTGTTGGATTCAGTTTTTTAAATTTATTTCAAACTCTCTTGACAGGTACAACCATCTGTTTTTTAATGTACTGTACCTATGTGACCATTCTGGTGTTTTACAAAGATATGGTAAGTGCAAGCAGTACTGAAAAGCACTTTTTAATTGTAAATTTGACAATTACTGGGTTTTTTATATCCTGAAACAGCTCTTTTGCTTTGGATTACTGAAAGCTAATGGGTTATTTTCTCAAGAATAAACACAAAGAGAAAAAGGATTTCCAAAAACCTTACTAGTTGAGAGATGGTGATTAGTCATACTGAACTGAAGCTTGTCAAATCTCTATAACAACAAGCTTTACCGACCAACTCATGTGTCAATTTTTAAACACTCTTGTTAATCTAATGCTATATTTTATATTTAAAATCATAATCATGCTTTTTTTTATCAGTATGAAAATTATGTTGAAAAGAAACAAGCTTAATGACAATAATGACAAAAATAAAAAAAGAAGAAATTTGCATTTGAGCAGAACAGCTTTCAATTCAAGTCAAGTAGTTGCAGTCTACCACATCAAAGCCACCACAGTGTCATCTCAATCAATGCAGCGTGTAATGTTGTTATGGACTTTAAAAGAGCTACGAGACTCTGATTAATTCACTGAGAGACTGAATCACCAATTGCAAATCATTGAGAGATCCTTATTAAAATGTCTGTCATCAACTTGTCTGGACCACAATGAGATCTTTTCTGCATAATGGTCATTCATTGTGCAATGAAGAGGCTGACAAAGTTGCTGAGATTTTCATCAATATCTTAACACAACCTGTTGTGAGACTCTGTGGATATACTGGTGTGAAAATATGTGACGACAAATGTTCTGATATCCACATATTTTCAAAAGTGTTATGGAGGATTGTGTCTGGTCATTCAAAGAAACGTAGATACTGTATGTATGTACATCTCCATGAGGCTTTGAAGTTACACTAAATGGTCATCCTCGTGATTTATCCTGTTGAAAACTATTAGATAAGACTGCTAAAACCAATCCCTTTTAGCACAGACTAAAAATCACCTCGGTAATCATGTACAGCGCGAACACAAGATTCGCTCGAAACATAAGCGCTAATGTTTTCTGTTTGCAAAAGAATTCAATATCCAGGGATCTTTGATCAGAAGCTTACAATATCCTCCTGCGACTGAACTCTATTAGCTTCCCAAGCTTTTTTTTAATTGTCTCATAGAGCCTGTATTGGCTTTAAGAAAAAAAACAATACTGCAAATGTGTGATCGTGTTTTTGTGTTAAAATCCAGAAGTGTGGTGCATGTTCATATTTTTTGTTGTTGTTGTGAAATAGGTATAGTGAAATCAAATCAACTGGGGCTTCAATGAAGCACAAAATAGAGTAATGACCAGATATTGCAGACATGCCACAAAAATGGCAGTGTCTTTTCACTGTTTACAACTGCAAAAGCTTTCCTGTTTTTTTCTTCAGTGTGATCTTGGTTTGTTCCCATTTTGAGTGTTCAACTACTTATAGATTTTTTCTTATAATTTCAGGAACAGAAGTTAACCTTCAATCTACAGTTCACAAAGAACAACAAGACCCAAGAATTAGATGCAGTTGATGGTGTTCATTAAGTATCTAGGTGAAATGGGTCTTGACTGCTTGACTGAAGGCCTGCCCTTTGGAGGCTGGGACCCTCATAAAAAAGGGGAACTAGGAAGATGGAGGAGTGAGATGGAGGGATGTCAGACAAAATGCAAAAAAGTGGGGTTTCCTTATGGTAGATAGAGCTTTTGAGAAATAATTTTGCGAATTATGATTTAGACTAGCTGGGACGTAGAGTGACTTGGTGACTTGGCATAGTTCATGAATTTCAAGTAAGATCTCCATTACAAAATTTGAGAGAACATTATCTGGCATATTTTTCTCAAGAATAAGTGCAGTATTCACTGTGTGCAGGTGATAGAGGTACACACCACAAGGAAAGTTTTGTTGTACTAGCGTTCTTTTCTGTTCTGACTGTCTCTTCCTTGGCCTGACTACACTGTTCTGGTTATTTTGTGTTGCATTAACATACGTTGTCTGAGAAGCACAATCTTGTATCATCTTGTATCCTATTTAAACCTGCTGGAAAGCCCTGCGCCATTTAAAAAGCTTCTTACAGGTGGCACGCTGCTGACGCGCTCCATTAGCCCTCTATGTGTGACAGTGGTCCTCTTTCGGTAAGCTTGGATACTGTTTGCAAAAACAAGATAACTACAGGCCTGCTTATCTGGCAAAGATCAATACCTGCTTTTTGAGGTTTGTTGACCTAAGCTGAATACATATGGTACTGAAGGCCATTGTGTAAGCCTGTTTTTGTATAATAGTGATTCAAAGTCAGGGGCAGAAGAACTGAAACTCATGTACAGTAACTAGAAATGAATATGATCAAACTCCATTCTTTATACATTTTCTGGTTTTGTCTAATATCTCAATGTATTTCAAAGAGTTATTGTGCTTATGCTTGTTGCACACATTACTGAATATTGACCAACAATGATGTCGTTAAGAAAGGAGAATAAAAGGCAATAACAGTAACAATATGTTACGATATTTTTCATCTCTCTTTCAGTATATACTGTTAAAATACAACTGGTGATGATCAATTTCTAATTTTATAATAGCATTTTTTAAACAAACTTATTTTTATATTGTGTCATTTAGATTTATTCACACAAACACAAGCATTCATTTATCTAATAAGTTAACATTTGAAGAAATGTTATATTGTTAATAAATATGAATTTATTCCTGCCTTGCCCCCTGTGCTTCTGGGTGCGAGATGAGGAATAAGACTTCCTGATAATGGTTATAGAGTAAAATATCAATTTTATGTAGCTATAAGGGTCTAATAATAAAACACATTTTTTCAGTTCTCTCTTTGTTTTCATATCTCGTGTCATTTTTGCATACATATTGCACTGTGCAGCACAGGCTTGAACTGAGAATGCTTCAGATCAGCTAAGATCTACATTTATGATGAGCACCATCTTTCTCTACTGAAAGACCACAGTAAAAGCTCACAGACAGTGAAATCCACTGTGGTACTCAAGGCACTGCAGAGCAGAGCAACGGTTTGCATAATGATTCATTTAGTGTTTTGTATCATATTGTGTTATTTTTTGCACCTAACCTTTATATGCCAATGAGAGGTAAAACAAATTAAATAAAAATAAGCATTTTCAATAAACATGCTGAACCTTTCAGGTTTCATTTTTCTTTTAGCTTTTTATTTGTAAAAATGTGCCACTTTGTAACATTCCTTATTGCATTGCAATTTGCATGCCACGTTCCCAATGCATTGCAATATACTCTTTTTTCGAACCCTAAAGGTAACTATTTCTCCACATAATGTAATAGAATCAGTTCAGAGTCAAAAAAAATATAGAGCACAAGGAACTAGCCTGAACTTCAGACTGTACTTTATACAGTAGGTCTGGTGGTGCAGTTTATATTTATCTGTCGTAACTAAAACAGCTCTAACCAAGAGTTGAATAACACAAGTTCTATGGGTTCAGTCTAAAATATTGAAATGACTGAGCAAGATGTTGACACAAGAGGTTCTTATAAAAAATGAACACATTTTTCAAAAGACTTATTTATAGTTCAAAAGATTCAAAAGATTTACAGTTCATAAAACATAGATCACTTTCTGAACATCAACTGAGAAATATTTTAAAAATAGCATTAACCAAAAGCTACCAAAATTTGTATGTAAATGTCTCACATATTAGTGTCTTTCATGTCCACCTTTAGCAAAATGCTTTTTAAAACTCATTTCAAAATAAAATATGTTCTCACAACAATATAAGATGGAAAGAAAAAGCCCTTAATCCATTGTCAGTGAAGATTTTTGTATTTTGTGCCCTACAGAAAAGCAACCTTTTTCCAAACCAACTTTTCTCAAAATCTAGTTGATCAGTTTAGCATCATGCAAAAGTCCTCTTTGTTCCTCAAGAGTCTGCATTATGACGATGCATTCCATTTAAACAATAAGACTTTTCCCAGGAATTATACTTTTAGAAAAGCAGTAAACAAAAATGCAACAAAATAGAGAAGTTACCTGAGCAATTTGTGAGATGACCACCCGGAAGAGTCAGACCTTGATTATAGTGAATTTGGCGACGTGTCACTCTGGGATTCTGTAATCACATCATATCAAACTCCAAAGGTTCAGTGTCCTAGCAAGCGGGTTTACAGTCCTAGCGGGTTAAACTTTAACCAGCTCTATCTCCTCTTGGATGTGGCCCTTTGACCAGAGACATGATCACTGTGGCTTAGCTGTTAATACATGGCACAACATTCACAAAATAAATTTATACTATAAATAAATGCAATCAAATGCAATTAAAATTTATTTTTTATATTATATCCTCTGAGTGAAGTCATGTTTTTTGGTTTGTTTCAGTCTCATCATGAATGCATCTAACACAAAAGCGTAAGATCTTCATTGTATAGTTTAAATACATTAAATGGTTTTTAGTTCAATGAGAAACGTCTCATATACAAAGGGACCTGGGTCTTTTGTAGCTGTACAACCTTCGTTCACTGCTACATTTATCGTCTGAAGATCACTTCAACAAATTGATCTTGTCAGAAAAACAAAACCCCCTCAAACTTACTTAATTGCTGTTCCTCAAATTAAAATTTCATGTAAAATACTTCTGAGAAAAAGTAAACATTTCATTCTACAGATTCAAGCATTTCAAGTAAATGCAAACATTAGATTCTGTTATCCCTAAGGTCTGACCTTTTTTGTCAAGAAATTAATTATCTGTATTACCAAGAGTTATAAATATTTTGCTGCTTGACTGACTTGTGTGATATTTGCAGGATTTCCTTTGCTGCAGTTTGTCCTGTTCTTCAAGTAACGATGAATGGAAAAGTATTAAAAGCAATGCATCAGGTTATTTTTAACCACTCAGTTTAAACAACTACAGATAAACTGATTTTCTTGGCTTAAGGATAATAACACTGTAGGATTCTGTGTCGAGAGAGATAAAACAGGGATAAAACATAAGGGTTATTTAGAATCAGAGTAAAACCAGTAAACAGTTTACTAAAAAACTTAGACAATGTGAAAATACAGATTTGTATTTCATTGTTATCCTGTCCTGACAGCACAATCTAATGTTTGCTGTATGATGTTGTTTATTTGTATTAGATACCATGAAGACTGGTATTCCATGTGACCTTGCTTCTTGTGCATCTCACAGTGAGAGAAGGCAGGCATGCAACTCACAGGCTCTGCACACAAAATGACAGACGTTAAGCTGAGGTTTGATCTTTAAATATTATTATATTTAATTCCTTCTGTTCTGTTCCTCTTGGAATTTTTAATAGAGTGATACTTAAGAAATATTCCAAATTAAACATCAGCAACACTCTAATCCTAAAGAATTGATACTTAAAATACAGGATGGAGGTAACCATGTATCTGGACAGTGAAAATCACCCCTTCTTTAACACTACAGTATTGCAAGAGCATTTTCTCTCTCTGTTGATAAATATATAAATATAATCAATCATATACTGTGGCTTAAAAACAGCAATGACGGAAGATACTTTGGTAATGGAATATTCATCATTTTAATGAAAGTGACAGCTCAGTTTTCAGAAAATCAAGGAATGACAGGCTGTGCAGGCCTGTTTGTCATTGAATTGTTTCTCTTTTTCTTATTGCATATCATTTTTTAAGATTTAATTGAAGAATTAACATAAGTAAATAATTTTCTCTTTGAAATAAAAGCTGGATAAAATTGTTGTTGTTATGATTATTAAGTCTGCCTGCTATTTTTGTGCTGCCTAATGAGCTTCTCTGAGACAGATACAGACAGGAGCTTTATAAATTCAGAATTTCAAATCACGCATAAGCAGTTTATATTCCACCAGAGAGCAAACTTGTACCATAGTTCAAACGTTTTGAAGATTTGTGTATTGAGATCCTTGGCAGACACATAAAAGAATTTTGTTATTGGAAAAAAAAATAAAGTTCTTATCTTTTAGACATTGCCTTTGCTATGGAAATGACATGGCAAAAAAGCATTAGTGTTCTAAATACAATATCTGGGTCAGAGGTGCAGCAGCTTCAGTATTTTTTCCATTAGTGGTACACTTTGAGTGATAAGATGGTTTAATTTGAGGCACAGGCGAAACATCTGGTGTCGTAACTTCAGTGATGTTTTTCTCTTTGAGCTGGTTGTTCAGTGCCCCCAAGTGTTTTATCAAGGAATAGCTCTCATAGCAATTAGAAACGAAGCATCTACTGTAACACTTCATGTGTTAGAATACAGTAGGTGTCTCTCTTGTCCTGAAGTCTTTATACAATACAGTGAAGATTCGTTTTGGTCCTGTGAAGTTTTTATCTTGTAGGAATAATCTCTTACCTGGTATATTCACTCTTTTACAACGTGCACACAACCGTCCTGCCATTGAAAATATCATTATTTTATTGTGGGTTCCCTGCACTGAAACTTGCATGATAAGCACTACATGTTCAACCTATGTTCAAATGATTTATGATTGATTCATTACAGCACGTTCCAGGACAGGAACCCTGATTTTGCTCACAAAAGAAGAAACCAGTCACTGTGTCCATTCATCCACACCAAGCCCACCCAATTAACAAAACCACTTCATGGTACAGTACATTCATTACATTTCAGTCTGTGTTTCTTTGGGAGTGCAACTTCTTGTTGAACACTATGTGTTCTTAAAGGTTTGTGTTTATTTTCTGAACTGTAAAATTTGTAAAAAAGTAATGCAGTAGTAATGTAGCAATATTTATGTGAAAGCAATGTTTTTTTCACTTGTATGTTGAAATTTGCAATATATCTCCACGCCGGGCTCTTCATGTCTCCAAGGGACACCTCTTTCTTTCTGGGTGACCTCGTTCGGCATTTTGTGCTGCCAATTGGAATTCATCAAGAGGCCACAACTGTCACTTTGGCACCGCTGCAAAAAATAAGAAAACCAGATCTTTCTCTACTTGCATCGCTACAAATGTTTTCATAACTAATTGAAATAAGATGGTCACTTAATTACAGAAAAATCTACTATATATTTTCTGAAGTCAGATTTTGTGTAAATAATACTGGCAATGCTTTTTAGAACCAATATAATGAGGTATTTTTAACCAATGCAACTTAGCAAACATCTTTAAAAATAAACTTTTTGTTTACTCTTTCTTGAAATATTCCTTCTAGTTGATTTACAAAGAAATCTTTAGACGTACCGCTGATGAGTCTATTAAAATTGAGCTATTGATTTTCTCTCTAGATGAAAGTAATAGATGAAAGGCTTGACTGATGTCAGTCAGAGCTCCTGTGATCACTCTGGGGTCTTGCTCTGTCAACTGACCCGGATTACTGGGTTTCTGATATGTGGGAAAAGTAACTGTACTGCTGTTTGTATTGAAGTATTTGTAATTGACACACCCATTCCAGGTATTCCGTAGTATCAGGTTAGGGCAGGTGACAGGTGGCAGGCTCAGAATTGAGCAGACATTGTGTGATAATTAAGGCTGACTTTTCTGAATGCCAAAACAGCCTGAAACCTTGCAAATATATTCAGCATTTTCTGTGAGAAAAGAATAGCATTGTTTTTCAGCAGTGAACTTCAATACACAAATCGGTCAGAGCTTTCCATTCCTTGTGGTTTTGATTTTGTACCTGAAAAGTGAAATCTTAAGAGTATCCTGAATGTCAAGACATTGTCAGACAGAGATATACAAATATATGACCATCACTCCTTCATCTAATGGCATCAGCTACTGGCACAGTTTTTCATCAGCACAGAGGCATGTCGATGAGCCAGTCAGCCATGCTGACTCTCTGACTTCCTCCCTGTCATTCTGTGCTGCCCATCTGCTCGACATTATCATAAAGTCATTGCTTTCATCAGAAGACTGAGGACAGTTTCAATGTCAGGCTATAGCACTGTATCAAATCAATGAGTGGCAGGTAATATTATATCCTTTAACTGAGAAGTGGCTTGATGTTTGTTTATCACTGTGCCATCTAATGTGTTTTCTTTTCTCATAACAGTAGAGAAGGATTAAGATAGGAAGCATTTAATGACATGGTAACAGTTGAGTTGCTACTAGGATTTGGATTGAAATTAGGGAGAATGTTTTAATACCCTTCAATGTCAGCAAAAATGTTTGCCTCGGTTTCATTTCTTCCCCAATGGTGAAGAATTGTATAATCTTGAAAGGTACGGTATGTGCCAAGATAAATCCCTTGATGTACTGCGCAGAATGACACCTGCACTGAATCCTCTCTCACTCACATGACCCACCACGAGGAAGAGTGCAGTGAATGCCTTCCCTGGAGACCAGCAGACATGTAATGTCTTCATTATTGCATAAGGGTGTCAGCCTCACATTGTACCATTGATGTACAGTACCTATTGACACAAGTATGTTATATTTTAATATATACCAGCTAATTAGTCAACAAAAAAGAAAAACAGAATCACTCAATAATGAGCTGCAGAGCTCTTTCCAAAAAGAACCTCTGTTGATCTGCAGAGGTAGTTTTGGTGGAAGAACTGAATTCTGATCTTCGGTCATCAGGTGTGTTTATGGTTCCTGAGTCAATTCTGTCTATTCACTTTGTTGTGTTTGTTGGCTGGAATACAGTACATATTCATGCTTGTACTGAAATATACCCCGAGTAACATATTTTCAATGTTTTTATTATTGTTTTCCACATTGACAGCGATTATTTGAGAACTAAAAAAAACTTCAATGTCCTCACACATGCACCTTAGGAGTCTGCAGTCTAAAGTTCCATTAAATGTATTACAGTAACTCCTATAATAAAATAAAAAGTTTTAGGTTACTCCCCAATGTTTTCTGTTGTTTTCTTATAAGGCAATAAACAGGTGTTAGTTTAGCAAGATGGTAAAACTTCTATGAATACAGCCCACTGAGTTCCAGTTACATAACACAAATAATGTTTTACTTCATTGTATCTTTTTATTGACATCACTTAAAACAGTTATAGATTTTACATACCCATAAATGTTCATAAATACCAGTCTCCATTTTTTAATAATTGAATTAAATGTAACAGATTTAAGTATGAGTCCAATTAAAGGATAATTTAGTGTATGTTTTCTAAGCTGGTACAAAGATCAGAAGACAGTGTATTCTGTGAATGGGTTTTTG